ACGGAAACCCGGGGACTGCGCCTACCTGATGAGCCCCAAGAAGGGCGAAACCGGTCGTGGGCTGTCGATGGATTTTCGGCAAACTTATGAGTAGTACATCACAAATATTAATTAGTCTTGTTTATTCTGATTACTACAATAAGATTCGCATTTGATTAAATGGTGAGTTGTTTGGTTATAAAATGTGTGATCAGCACCTCTGGGGGAACGATGCGTCAAAGAGGTGTTTGATGAGGGTCTGGATGTAGGGAAGGTAAAATGCTGTAGGGACTTAAGCTCCTACAAAGAAAATATTGCAGATGGAAAAAAACGCAAACCGATGTGGCTTCTTGATACGGTGGGGGGCGGGCGGGGCGGAAAGTGTCACACAGTTCACAAATGAATGAACAAGCCAGAGGCGGTGTGGTGTTGGCAGACGCGTTTGTCATGGATTCGTCAGCAGTTCCAAGAATGTGGGATATTGCAAGAAAGTAACCGTATTCCGTCGCCATAATATATGGTATCTGAACTACGAGGAAAGTGTGTTCTTCGGTTTCTACCTCACCTTTGTTTTCTCAAAAGAATCATACATGCAGACGTTGGAGTCGTATCGCAGGTGATTCGGTATGACAAGAGTAAAGTCAACAAAAGAATCGATCACAGAGTTACGCAAAGTTGTCTCAACATCATACATCGCCGGGCAAAATATTATGTATTAGGGACTGAACCTCGTTGTTCAATATTCTCTTGATCTGCACTGAATAACCCCGAGGGGTTGTTGGTGTCTGAAGACCAATCAGACCGTTGCACAAAAGACTGATGTTGGGACAGTTGGGAAGAGTAGAAGTCTGGATAACTTGGTGATCGATAATGCTGCTGAATTGAATGGTCGGGTTCTGAAGGCCGTTGTCTGGATACCGATGTACTGCGTTCTTCTGTCAAGAAATTCAAAATAGCAATGTGGTGCATTTGGAAATGGCGTGAACAATTCAATTTAACTGATGAGAAAGTAACTGGTTCCATCATTTTACAGATTAGGAAAACGAGAATTTTTTGCTTCTATAGAGCAGAGTGTTGGTAGCCCAGTTAGCATAGACGGTCATTGATTTGTTCGAAACAATTTCAATCTTCTATGACAAAGAAGCACAATTCTGCGGACTATCGCGAATGTATACTGAGTAGTACTCACACAGACAGAATACTGCCAGATGAGCGAAAACCATGCTTCAGCCACGTTCTTCACGTTTTCGTTCCTCTGTACTTCAACCAATCAAAATCTAGCATACGAAATGTGGCAGAAAATTCCACTTTTAATGCACTACTCATAAGGTTGCTAAAATTCACCGACAGCCAAAGAGCAGTTCCTTCCTTCTTGGGGCTCATCAGGTAGGCGCAGTCCCCGATTTTCCGTCAACCATATGTCCTACTTGAAACCAAATTGCACAAAATCAGTGAATATAGACACATTTGCAAACTAATTTGGTTTTTCGAGAGACTCACCTGAAACCCAGCTGAATCTCTCGTTTGTGATGTTTCGGCAAATTTTCAGCAACCTTATGAGTAGTGCATCGCAAGTGCACATGTAACGCGATATCTCGAATATCCTAGCGGCTGAAACATGAGGTGGCCTGGTGCAGCACATTCGGTTGCCTGGAAACACCACAAACGAAAGTTTCAGCCGGGTTCCAGGTGAGTTTCCCGCAAAACCAGATTAGTTTGCCAATGAGTGTACATTGGCTAAAATTCCACTTTCTCGTAAACTTGGCCCGAAGCTGCCCGAACCCGGACAAACTTAATTTGCTTGGTGACTGCCACAATGTGAGATTCCAAAAATCACGTGTCACTCATTTATTCGCTCCACTCGTTGTGTGACTCTCAGGCAGGCCACGATGTCACATTGCTTGCCAGTTCGATGCAGCTCAGCGCGCACGAAGATACTTTCAGTGGCCAAATCACTTACCGAAGCCAACGGCGTCTCCGCGCATTGGCATCATGTGTTGGAGAAAATAGACGCATGAAACTGAAAGTATCAGAAAATCTATTCCTTTGAACCCCGGCAGGAATATGCGCCCCCAATGTCCGTGTACTCTCTCGGATTGTTCAAAAGATGTCATTTGCACAGACCCTATGATCACATTCTGTTCAAGCATGTTGCGCCGGGAGAGCCTACAGAAACCTCATTAGTCCACGCAACTTGGAATAGATCGGAGACAGGTAAACACATGGCTATTCAATGTTTGAAAGCTGGGCCCAAATCTCATCCGGTGTCATTGTTAATCAATGCACACGTTGTGCGCAGAGACGATGACAGGTAGCCGGCTATTAAAGTTGACAGCTGCTAATAAAGGCGTGATTTTAGGAGAGGAGACGGGGGTTTTCAATTTGTGAGGAAGGGTAATGCCAAAAGGTCGGCAAATGCGTGACTGTCACCCTCATAAAGCTAGAGACCCGACACTCGTTATTCCAAGTAAAAATCACACGAACTCAAATGCCCGAACTTCCCTTGTTGACCTTCCATGGTGGGGTTTCCACTCATGATAAGTGAAGAGCACACAACTGCTTATAATCTAGTTAATTTGATTTCGAAATTCTACCATTCACTTGAAAAATTTGATCAAACAAACGAACTAAGAGCAAAGTTCCGATGGAGTGTTAACCACGTTGGTTAGTCTATATTGGCGATGGTTGATTTAGTTGGTGTGTGGTTAGGTCGATGAGGAGTAAACCTTCTTGGGACTAAAAAAACAGTGTTACAATTTAATGTGTGAAATAAAATTTTAAAAAATCAGGTGATCCCGGAAAGTAGTACTACGGAAAGCAAGGTTAGCGGAGAAAACAAAAAGAATGCTCACTTGGACGATTGGAAAGCATGACGGTTCTGCTGTCTGCCGACTCATTGCTTGTGCCATTCGAACTCTGAGAGGTGGTTATATCAGCTAGCGCGCTGAAATACTGCCCGGTCAATTTGTCTGAGAGGTCGCGCAGTAAACGTCCCTGTTGGCGGCCCCGTGATAATTGGACTCGAAACTGTCTGCTAGTTTTTACCGTGTCTTCTAATGGATGGCAACCTATTTTGGTAAAGGCATCGGACAGTAGAAAAGACTCAATCGGCGGAGGCTGAGCTGGCGATGATCTACCTGCCTGTGTCTGATGTAAAATCAGTCGCTTTGGGCTATTCGAACACTGAGTCGACAGGTCTAGCGAAGTGTCTATCATCGAATCGTGATACCCACTATCCATGGGGTTATCAGACACACTACTGTTGTGTAGCGTGTACTGTATCACTGTCGTATCCAACATACTCGCCAACGTGGTTTCCGAACCAAAACTCGTAGGATGCCCAGCGTCAGTAGCTTTCATATCTGGTCGGTGAAGTGGATGTGAGTTGGGGGTGAGGTGAAGACAGAAACCCAATGGTTAGAACATCACATGGATTTTAATCGATAATCAGCTGATTCGAGATGTGGTTTGTAAACATGATAAACGATGATTAAGTCATTAGAGATAAAACACTGACCCACCAAGATAACACAACTGAAACATGGTGGAAAGTTTGATTCAGACAAAAATCAATATCCACCCATTGAAAACAAAATGAATGGAAATATGAGAATGAAGTTCTGCTGGATGGCCAACGGAGTTTAATGCGGTGCTGGTTGAAAATTATTGCCAATATTTATCCATTTTGGGGGGATATGACAATCATACCCACTTGTAAAAGTGATGTTGAAGAACAGAGCATCCTATATAGGAAATACAATGTCACTTCACGGCCCGCACAGTAGGGCCCGTACTGTTATTGCTGTTTGTCGATTCTGATTGGTTGAAAAGCCAGGATACGATGGTGTCCCGGACTGTGCCCCCAATGGAAAAGAGGGTAGGAAGAAAAAACGTACACAGAAGTTGGTCACGTCTCATTCCGTTAGCAAAATCCTCCATCCAAGAAACGGGGCTGTCCGCTTTAAGTACAATGAAGACAAGGTAGCACAGTGACTAGAGCACGAATTTACTGACCAGAAGGTCCGTGGTCCCAATCCGACCTCTGCTTCTCAAATTTCCCTGTCTCTAGGCTTGGAAAACCTGACAGAGTCCAAGCCCTCGTGCTTCCTTTTGGTGGCATGGCAGTTAGACCACGAAAGGGTGCTCGGCATTTCAACGCGCTATCAATAACTCCATAACTTTACCTGTCAAGCGTGAGTTAAGTTGAAGCAATCGATTGCGTGATTGTCTCTGTATCACATGTGGACTCTTGGTCTCCTACTGGTGTAGCGGTGATACTACTGATGGCGGAGGCATGCGAGTATGTTTTATTCCTGTAAATTCGCTTTGCGTCTTTTGAAAAGTAGGATCTATCGCGTAATTTGTGGAGTCGCCTCGTAACACTTGCTTGGATTTGAGCAACAGTCAATGAATATCCAGGAAAGTTCAGGAAGACGCGTTCAAGAGAAGATGGATGTTCAGTTTTTGTAAGGAAGATGCATATGAGAGTTTTGCTCCCCTGTCCAATAGTCTGTAACTGGTCAGTTCGTGTTTTCTAATAAACAACTCCGTAGCGATGGCCTTCTTCTTTTCACTGATAGCCATCCTGTCATAAGCAGGATGTTTTCATCTGCTATTTAAATGATTCTGGGGTTAAGGAAAATCCTCCAAAGAGATACCAAATCGTTTCCGTGAGATCGCCTATCGATGTCTCAAAGAAAAACCCAGAGAATGTACCTTTCAGTTCAGTGATCCTCATCATTAACTCGTTTTAAATTACGCATCAGAAGAAACCTACCAATGCTCTGGTCTAGAAGAGACACCAGACTAGAGTTGATCGCGTTGACAATAAAATTCCCAACTATGCTTGTCAATAGTCAATACGTATGCGACGTGGCGGTTCTGAACACATGCATTTTCACCGGAAAGCCCCGGGAAAATGTTCACCCGAGAGCTTACTGTTTAGTTGTATCGTAAACCCGTCCACAAACTTTGAAGACTCCGTTGCAGGACAGTAATGCTTGAGCCGGGTTCCACATATGACCCATTCGAGTGGGAGGCAATGAGACATGCTCCGTACTGGCGATTTGCTGACCAGCTGGTTCAGGGTCATCCACCCTGGGCACGCCGCTCAAAATAACCGGATATACTTTTCAGAAGATCCTGGTAAGCAAACGGTAGTTTTTATTTGGGCAGCGTTTTACTTTTGACACAAAAGCTTCATCAGGCCAAGTGAATAGGTCACGAAGTTGGCCAGGTTATAAGACAGATGGGGAACTAATCAGTAAGTCCTCTTCACACTAGATCAGTGTTCAGTGTCAATTAACGGCCCTTGTCGGCTAGTGTGGGTGCCCAAATCTCGAATTGGTGGGTTGGAGGAGTTTCAAATTAGTTCCAATTGCTTTATCTTAATTTTCCACTTCAGAGTGCTTCGCTTGATGATTCACCTCGGTTGCCACTGGTAGATTTTCCCTGGCCTTTGTGGGGTTGTGGGTGCTCCGGCAATTCAGTTTGAGGGGGGTTGAGGTCAAGTGGATTTCAGATGATGACCACTCTTCCTTCTGATGACCGCACACCAACATGTGTCAGCTCGAGTGACGCAAGACCGTTCTCCACACGCTAGCCAGTTCCACGCCTTCCATTCTGTTAACACTGGGATGCTTGGCGATTTCTGCCCCTCTCGGCGGTCAGTCTGTGTGACTTGGACCAATTGATTGAAAACCAATTGATTAAAAACCGAATATCCTGTTGATTGGACGGTTACGGAGTCAACGAAGGCGCGCCCTGATTGGTCCGAATGTCAGCTCAGCAGGGTAGAGCATTTGTAGCTCCCAATGTTTGCCCTCCAAGCAGAGAGCTAAAATTCTAAGTCAGATAGTATTAGGAGAACCAGCTCTGAATGTAACGGGGCTACACAACAGCCAATGGAATAGCCGTTTTCGTTAAAACAGATTTCATTGGTTCTTCTGCACTCGCCTTTGACAGATGAGTTGTATTCATGTTATCAATTTGAACCGCTTGTACGCGATCAATAGAACAGCTGACTTGCACGTTCGTTGACTAAGCTGGTTTGGTCAAGCGCACCGGGCGATCAAGCGGCTATCCAGACCGGGGTTCACAGTAACAAGAAGGCATTACTGGACTGTGGTTATGAATGTGATCATCCTAGAGATTTTGGGGATTTTTCAGGGTTATCCAACATAACGCTGTCGATCTTGAAGAGAATGCTGATAGCGCATCCACCGCCCAGCTCAGCTCAGCTCAGCTCAGCCCAGCGAACAAACCAACGACCACAAGATGTCAGTAACTCGGTGGGAAAGCCATAACCGTATGTGACCACAGCAAGCATAAAAAGTGCTGAGCCTGGTTCTCCAAATGGTGTAGAGACTTGTGGTCTGTGTTAAGGCATTCTAAAACGAATATCCAGTGACCAGTGGTGTTTAGTCACCCCCACGCATCGTTGTAATGCCACTGATCGAGGGAAAAACCACGGGAAACTTCCGTTGTGGTTTACTTTAGTTGAAGGAATTTGCGTCCCCAGCACACTCGCTGAGCAGGCCTCCTCTGACTCTGGTACAATTATTCTGGTTGGCCCATGGCGAAGTGAAGAGGCATCCTTACTCGCGCCAAGACAGTTCGAACGAGGGCCACGTGAACGCGGATTCTACAATCGTGCAGCTATCCACAAATAGCCCGGTTTGTTTTTTCAAACACCGTAAAAAAACACCACCCAGAAGCACACTGCAAATAAAACCTGGCTAACGATGACAAATCTTCATTAGTGAAAGGTATTGCACCAAGAACAAAAAAACTGTGACTCAACCTACTAGTCGATTCAAGAGTGGATTTTGAAGGTCATTTAAGCTTTATGGGGAATCCCGAAGCTGTCATTGGTCACGTCTGGACTATGTGGTTACATAATCAGGACACAAAAAATGTCTTGTTTAACATAACACCTAGTGTTATGTCAGTTCAAACACAAAATTAATCCAGAAATAGCCAGAAACTATGTGCATCTCACCTCGCCCTTGTTGTGAATGGTATGTTAATTCGGTACCACTTGTTTCCATGAGTTTAGTTTCTTTCCTTGGTTCAGACATCTGGCGTGTTTTAGTCTTTTGGGCGGCTCGACGGCGAGGAATGGCCGTCGATGACGTGTGTCCACCCAAATTGCTTTCAGAAAATCTTGATCGATGTTCTGCAGGGCTGAATGGAGGTGGTATGGTTCCGGTAGCTAGTACCTCGCCTTTAACCGGCGATGCAGGTCTACATGAACCGGGCAAACTTGTCTGAGCAAGCTGGTGCGCCCAACCAGCGACGGGAGGACCAGGAGCAGGAAAACGGAATGTGTTGTTTAAGGGGGGGACTGGGGTCCAGTAGGCCCCAGGCACGCTGGAACCCAAGCTTAGGTCAGCACTGGCCAAAGTTCGATAGTCTGATCCCGGAAATGCTGTGCCCACGACAGATAAACCTGTTCGCTTGTGGGGTCTCTGGGACCAGAAATCCGGTTGCTCTCTCCGGTGTACTGGGAACAGCGAGGAGTTGGTGTCTACCAAACCAGGAAAAACGGCATTCTCCAGGCTGTATAGAAAGTTGTCATTGTCAAGTGACCCCATATCGTCGAATCTCTGCATGATCAGAAAACAACAGAGCGTACAGTGTAAGGTGACGCTTTTGCAACCCTACAGCCCTCTAAATGACACTCACACGGGACCAAAACCTCTACCTGATGCAATCAGAACAATGCGAAACTAGGACATTAAATTTGCACAAAATTTCCTATGCAACTAAAAGCGAGAGAGTCGATCGAATCTCAAGCTCCATCTCAAGTCCATCCTAGTAGTCGTACACACTCACTAAATTGTAGTTCAAGTCAGCGCACCAGCCCTAAGAGACTACTGATGAGTTCTGAACAGGGCGAAACCGATAATGGGCTGTCTGCATATTTTGAGCCACTGAGACAAAGGAATCTTCAGTGAATATCTCCTTCGCGGCAGACTGTGTGCTGGACGTTATGCCAAAGTAAACCAATATGCTATCGGTCACAATGAAATCCATCGAGTTTCCATGGTGCACATGAACTTTGAAGTGGACTGAATTCTATCCTCACAATCGAACAGGGTGGGAATCTGACAGTGACCAAGTAAAGCCAATAAGCATTTGAGTCCTACCCCATAGCACTAACGTTCAAGAATATATTATAATAATATATTCATTCAGCTGTAACGCCCTTTGGGCGCCTAGCTGCCATGCCAACCAAAGGGAGCATGAGGGCTGAGATACTGTCAGGTTGCCCAAGCCTGGATAGGAGAAGCTCAGAGGCAGAAGTCGGGTTCGAAGCATGGATATTCCGGTCAGTAAATTCGCGCTCCAACCACTCGAGCCACATTCCCCACTAACGTTCAAGAGACCTAAGGGAATGGACAGACTGTCCCAAAAGAAGCACCACATTTACACGACGTGACAAGATGAGCGAAGCCGTAAATCAACAAGCTCCTTGTTACAAACACAAGCAAAAAGAGGACCGCAAAACGCTCATTTGCATACAGGTATGATAAAATTCAACAAGAATGCAGCTGAATTTCTCATTGATAATGGCCCACTTCAACTGAATGTGCTACATGCAGCCCAATGTATCTCTCAAAGTCTACCTGATTTAAACTCAAGTAAATGATAAGGTGGATGGCTCTCCCTGATGAGCCCCAACAAGGGTGAAGCCGGTGGTGGGCTGTCGAAGAACTGCGATCAACTTTGTGAGTAGTGTGTTACGTCTGGACAAGAGCACTGCGATATCTCGAATTTTGTACCAACATGAAGCTGTCCAATGCAGTGCATTCAATCGAAGTGGGCCATCATGAGGGGGACGTTCAGCCGGTGTAGCCAAATGTGTACGCAAATGAGAGCATTTGTCCAGATCCTTCCTGGGACCGCTTAAAGTTTTAACGTGTATCGAAGCCATTTTTAAAGGGTATTTGTGCTATTTTCAGCATCTATCGACGTGAAATGAGGTGTTCCGGGGGTGACACGTTCCTCCACGTGTGCATGCCTTTTCTATATTTGTGCCGCTCTCTTAGTTACGTGACATAAGTGGATGCATTGCAAAGACATGCGCACGTGACCACCTATGCACACACGCACTCTTCTTGAAGGTTCACGGCTACTTCGAGGTCATGAATCTGGAGAGTAGTGTTTGATGAATAAATCGGAAAGGAAACCTCCAAAATGAGTCAGGTGATAATCGATGAGGTAGAATCGATATCTTGATTGGATATAGGATACGTCATCCCACAGAATGACGAAAGGCCTAGGCTCCAGTGGTGTTACACACTAGTGGTGGTTTCACGGTCACTTGACAACCTAACCATGTGACTAATGAACCCGTGATAACGACGCAAGGGTTAGCCAGCACATGACCAGAGATTCAGTGGACGCTGGGGGATTCAATAGGATGAAAAGAACGGGGTTGCCGACTGACAAAGAAGCGAAGTGAAGAAAAATACCTTTAGGATATCATGACAATGATGAGAACTCACGCAACAATCTGAAGACACGTTCATGTTGTAGTAACCTTCGTCGCCGAGCACGCTCAAATCAGAGGTGAACGCTGAGAGGGATTTTCGAGCACCTCGTTTAGAGCGCTTTGTACGCTTCGATTCCCGCTTAACCGATTTATTGGCGGAACGTTGGTGATTGAAGCGAAACACTTCGGACTGAGACGCACGGGCCATCATTTGCATGTTGGCCCGCAGTTTCCTCCGCAGCGTTGCACCGCGTCCGGCTTTTTTCGAACCTGATGGACAAGGAGCAAGATCTGGGTCCGTCTTTTCCACCTTTTCAGGAACGTATGAGAGTGAGGGATAGAGGTTGAACGCGTTGTTATCCGCACCGCTGCAGTCTCCGACATAGATTCTCTCTGGGCCTGCAAACAAGAGTGACTGAATGATGCAAGTGATTGAATTCAAGTGGATGGTCGTCATGGAATCTGTTGTGGTGTCCATTTGAAGGTCTAAGCTATTTGTCGTTTTTAAAGTACTCACGTTGCAGAGGGGGCCAAAAACAAATTCAACGTTGGATGCAACGAGATGATGACTGCCTTCGAAATCTTTTCTAGAAGAAAAACCCAACCTTATGGATGGAAAGTCGACTTGCTGTTTAACCACTGGGGGCGATATTTGCCAATGACATAAACAGACTGCGGGCTTATCAAAATGTAGGGAGAACACTGGGTATGGAAAACTGGGGTACCACAGCCCTGGATAGATACATAAAGAAGGGCTGTATGAGGTCGATTAGGAACTTTGTGGAGCGGTGTTTGCAAGCCAGGAAACTGAGTATGTAATCTCCACGAAGCTTCCTGCAGTTAGCTACCCGAGTAGAGGATCCGCGATTCCGTGTTTCCAGGCGTGGGAAAAACACAAAGACACTATGTCTGGTGAGTACGAGAAGCTGGTTTAGGCTGAGGAAACAAGAAGACAGCTACCTTGTTTGGTTCACTATATTTGACGGTGCTTATACGCGTGTGTACTGATTGTGTTAAAGAGTAAAAATCGTGGAATCTTTTTTTTCAAAAGCACGAAACTGACGAGAATCATTAGTGAAGGACTGGAGGGGTGTCATCCTGGACGTTACGAGGTAGGTTAGTGTGATCAAGGATTTCTAAGTGAAGGAAACTGGAATGAGTTCTTCGTCGGAAGCAGGGAGAATGAGTAAATGCCGGGTTTCAGAGAAGTTTAATGGATGGCGATGAAAGAAAGGTGAAATGATGCTATTTCGAACAACACTAGAGTCTGTATATGTAACACACTACTCATAAGGTTGCTGAATGTTCTTCCACAGCCCATGACATAAAGGATTATGGTAGAAGCCGATGATGCCTGGCTGCTTTCCGATATGGAGGGAAAATCTGGTAATATTTTGGTTGATGTCACGCTGGGCAAATCGACTCAAAATTTGGGGAGAGTTCAAAAGGTCAAAGGTAAACTGTACTTCGGATTTCAACCGTTGACGATGTGTTAACCCGGGAATTTTGAGTCAGAATGCTGTACTTTCAGTTGATACACCTCAGTTCACCGAAGATAAGGTAAAATAAAGGAACGAGAGCCATGAATTGGAGGTGATGGTCCAATCTATGCATTGACGAGAAAAGGATCTGTTTGTTTGGTGTATCTGGGGTTCACAGCTACGTATTGAAGGCGATAGTTGTGATGCAAGACTCCAGTGGTTGAGTAACGCAGTTATGTAGATTAGGTTAACTAACTATTGTTTTGTCTCGTCCCGCAGTCCCCATCCGGGAATACGACAGTTAACGACGCGGCTAAGTCGATTGGCAATGCTTTCGTGTTTCCTTGATAAGTCATTGACTATCGTCTCTGTCCCACAGAGGAATCATCAAAGATAGTCCTATGAGGCAAAGGGTTCCGTGGCGTACGAAGTACATGGATTACCCACTGTGACCTGTGGAATGTAACCAACTGGTGGATTTCCTCAAATACCACTTAGTGTACCTCAGCGTTAGCGATCTTCTGTCCCAAACAGACCCACACAGTGCTTCAAAGGCATCTTTTGGTGAAGCACCGAGAGCTTTCGGTTGTTTCTGATCTTGAAATTAGGACATATCGGACCGCGGCATTGTATATTTTGCCTTTGACAGTCAAGCTGATGTTACCTCGGTGCCGCCAATGCAGGAGCTCAGCAAGCGCTTCTCTGAAGTTACCACTTCGCAATTGGCAAACAAAACGAACAAAAAGGAAAACCAGAATGAGAATGGATGTGTAGTTTATGCAAAATTTTTAAGTATAGTTATAGCCAACTTTTGAGAAACTTGTCAGAAAGAACGCACCAAACCACGCGGTTTGTTGAGTGCCATGCACGCTCCGCTTTGGTGTTGCGAATGTGAACGGCGCGGAAGCCGTTCCAAACGGCTGTTCGACGCAATCAACCCAAGTGTGTCCAAAGTTGACGGATCTGTGACTATACCCAACGCCTGTTTGCTGACGAGTGAAATTTGCGGATTCCCTGGATGATTGTCTGTGTGTAGTCGACGAACTGGACAAGGCGCTATTCCAGTTGGTCTTCGGGATTCCAAACGAATCATTGGTCCATGACTCCGAGGACGCTCGACAATCACTCGGTTCGGATGAATACAGCTGATTGGCTGCTCCACGCGGTACCTCGACATCAACGTGATTTGACATCTTTGTGTGTTTTTGACAAGACCAGTAATGTCTACACCGTATAAGCCACACAACAAGCGCGACTAACGAAAAGAGAGGGGCAAAAAAGGGGAGCATGACAATGAGTAAAGAGTCAATTTGTGAGGTCAGTCAGTACGAAATTTACTTTGCGCTGTCGAGATCCTTCTGTTCCCAAACCACCATCAAGTGATCACAGAATTGGAAAACAAAACTACTTGGTATTTTCCAAACAGTGATGTGTGGAAAGCCATAATCTCCTATGCATATTGAGTGTGTAAATCGTCTGTGGGTTACCTGACACCGTCACAGCGAGTAATCGTCCGGTCATTCAAAAATTAGATACTGAAACACCGCTAAGTTGTCGGAATCAATGGAAAAATAAGTTCTCGAGTTGTCGGAATCAATGGAAAAATATTTCAAGTTCTCGAGGAATACACCCATTTGCAAATCAATTTGGTTTTCACGAGAGACTCAACTGAATCTGTCGTTTTTGATACTCTACAAATGAAAGTGCTGCACACAGGCCGCCTCACGTTTCAGTTGAGTCTCTCGTGGAAAACAAATTGATTTGCAAATGAGTGTATTTCTCGAAAACAGTGCAATTTGAGTTCAAATAGATCACAAGGGTGACGGAAACTCGGGAACTGCGCCTACCTGATGAGCCCCAAGAAGGGCGAAACCGGTCGTAGGCTGTCGGAGAATTTTCAGGAACCTTATGAGTAGTTACCCTTATTTCAAGTTTTGTTAAAGTGAAGAGCACAGTAGCCTTGAGACGCTTTTAACTCATTTACTCCTTTTAATTCAAACATCTTTGGAGACGTGTGCGTTACTAAGCTCTGTTCCAGAGCTTCGAATGGGTCACATACAGAAGTGCAGGTCACCCTATTCAGATGTACGTACATCAATACATGCACACCACTACTCAGTGCATTGACAGCAACGCGCTGATGACCTTAACTCGGCTCCTAAGTTCGGTGAAGAACAGTTGGGCCACTAAATGTGAATGCGGGGTGGAAACTCGCAAATAAAGAATCCTGAGGTTTAGTAGGTTCAGAAACAGCGGCTTGGTTTTACGCGAGTGCTGTAAAGGATTCTTGCTGCAGAGGCAACCTGATGGCCAAATTTTAATTGAACTTTTTTTTTCAAAAGCGGTTACACCCTTCCGGACAAAGCCTAACTTTTGTTTAAATCTTGAACAATGTTCACATACGTGAACTTCGAATTTTGAGGGAACTCAATTAGTTTACTGCAACACTATCGATTCGTTTATAACGAATTCGTCAACGATTGTTTAATTTGTCACGATTAGATAAATGTGGTAGGATTCTGCTCAGGTTCTTGTGTGTATCAGGTCGTCACTCCACCAGCTGATTGTCACGACCGTTTAGCCGAATCACTCTTCCTTGTATATGCCTAGAAAAATTTCAAAGAATAATGCATGATAAACCTGGAACAATAGTCACATTTCTACTTGGGTTCAGAACCGTTGAACTCCTCTTATGACCTGCACTGTGTTACTCCTTCCTCAGCTTCCTTTGAAATACCTGAATTGCCCAACAAGTTCTTGCCACGTGGGCAAAATCTGGCCGAGGGCCATGGTTTTTTCCCAAAACTTTCCAAACCGTTCCCTCCCTTACTTTCCACTGGTCATGTAGGCCTCGAATCAACCCCCGAAATTGAGAATACTCAGATAATGTTTTGTGCACGTCGATTCGATCAACCGCACGCCCCCTCAGGTGAGCATTAAGTGCAATCGTAATGAAACGCAGAATAGCTAAGCTCCTGTCCGAATGATAACCGCAACTTAGGCATTAGGAACAGCAGGTATGATCAACTAGTCAACGCATTTGACCGAAATGCGTGCTTATCGATCGCTTTGGTCCTATCAGAGCGGTGTGACTTTCTGTATTTACCAGTTTTGGGACAAAAATCTAGTTTTGTTTTCTCATTTCTATTTCTTTAAACAAAATTAATACCTTGGTTTAGCCGATCTCACAGGGGTGCTTTGGACGACTGGTTGCATGGGGATATCGTCTCATGTGACAGCATCGTGTGGTTCTGATTCCAAGACTTGTGTTTGAAACCAGTCTCATGACCGATGAGAATGATGGATTGTCGATCCAGAAAAATGACCAAACGTCACTCCCCACCCTAATCAATCAATGCTCTAGGAATTAGTTTAATTTGTTGGACTTATTGTCACACTCGGTCACATTCCACAGCTATAAAGTTGAGTTTTCGAACTTATCAGGTGCATTTATCAGCCAACTTCGGCTAAATCTAGTGGGCTTGGAATTCGGTGTTAAAAAACCAAGCATATCTGCATAGTTGTGTATACATTTATAATGAGGTGGAACAGGCGCGGTTTTTAAAGATGTTAGTGATCATGCATTATCACGTGGCCTAGACACACATATTGTCTTATAGCTGACTTGATTAGCATGGATACAGCATGGATCACGAAGATCTTAGGTGTTGTTGGTGCGGTCCGTCATCCAGGACGGGACCACTGTGACCCCGCTGGGGATATTGCCGGAAAAGCCGGCGATTCGACATCAGTGGCGTTCGTGTGTTCAGTTTCTTTTCAGATGTTCTTTCTGAGCGTTTGGGGGTTCTGGAACCTTGGAATGTTTGTGATAGTCCTTAAGTAATGAAGCACGGGTTTCAATGATGATTTAATCGTGCCGGACAGTGATGGATAAATCTCACCTGTGATAAACACCCGTGAGGTTTTTCCAGTGTGTGCGCAGCCTCTAAAGATGGTGAGTGAACAAATGCAGTGCTCGACCCACTGGGTATGTCATTCCGGCTCACATGAGTCAAGTCAGTGGCACGTTCTGCTCAAATGCAGCTCGACATAGAGAAGTTGAAAATAGAGTAATGTATAGAACTTTGTGAAATACGCTCATTTGCAAAAAAATTTGGTTTTACTAGAGGCTTACCTGGAACTAAGCTGAATCTCTCATTTGTGATGTTTTCAAGCAACTGAATATGCTTCAACAGGTCGCCTCATGGTCCTAGGTGAGTCTCCTGCAAGACCGAATTGGTGTTCAAGTGAGTATATTTTGTTAATTTCGTGCGATTTGGGGTCAAATAAAACACAAGGTTGACGGAAACTTGAGGACTGCGCCTACTTAATGAGCCCCAAGAAAGTGATACCCGTCGTAGGCTGTCGGGGAATCTTCAGCAACCTTATGAGTAGTGCATCACGATTTTGAGTACAAGAACGTCTCACTGCAAGCACACACAAAAATCATCGGCAGAATGCTTCTTTCATATACAGCCACGAGTAATATTGAGAAAGTAGGTAAGAATGTAAGTTACTCACGAGCGCATCAGAAACCCCATGAGAATTGTCCGAGTAAGTCAGCTCTAATAAGTTATCTAACACAGTCGTGAAACAGAGTAGATTAATAACCGCTGTTATAGCCACCGGCTAATGACTTCTTAGTAAAGCTAATCGCTCAGCTGTAGCATTCTTTCCATGCCTAACTTCCATGCCACCAGAAGGAAACACAAGAGATGGGAAACTGCCAGGGAAGTCGACTTTCCGAGGTCGGGTTCGAACCGCGGACCTCCCGGTTAGTAAATTCGCGCTCTAACCACCGAGACATCTCGCCCCATGACTTCTTATTGGATTGATGAAAACTCATAGGCAGCTCAATATTTATTACGTCAATCTTCCAGAGGACATTGGGCAGGTAATTTATTGTTTGCCTACCCAAGCATGCACCATGATCTAAAAGTACGAAGCAAGGTTGGTGGGAAGTCAGTGACTAGCCGACCTGATGAATCCCAAAACGGTCAAATCAGCTGTAAGCTGTCAATGATCAACACTACGGATATTACTGATATCTTGAACATCATCCCAGGTGAAACATAAAAGAGCTTGTATGCAGCATATCCATTTGACAAATGTTACAAAAGGGGAATCCAGCCTTCAGTTTGATTCGCTGACGATGAAGGGAAATTGGCCACATACAATAATCAGGACTGTCTACAAAAAATATAAGCGAGGAGCAAGGCAACCCTTCCACTGTGAGAAAAGGGGAGTCAGGGGAGTCAAAGAAACTCGAAGCGAGAGAGAAAGGCTAAGTGCACTTGGTCTGTCCGGTTCTTACGGCAGATTTCTAATCTGGTTTGAAGCACTTTTATCCTTGTCTTTGAGTGAGGCGTCACACTAAGCGGTTGGTGCGCGTTGAAAAGGATAGTACATCCTTTAAGGTGAAAATTAAACGAAGTATTCAATGTGACTTTGTCGTCACGTTGTGAGTTGTGGGAAACTGACAGTAGAGGTGGGCAAAGTATTCCATGGATGAAATATTTTCCGCACACGCACTGTGGTATTGGAAACTGAGACTGGAAAGAAGCCTCGCATAATCGTCAGACGTCGACCGCTGGTCTTGATCCCAAATCGCTGTAAAATCATTCAATCGGATTTGCTATCATCTCCCATGTGTTCGGGTTTCACAGGTAGCTGTGATACCAGCGTAACGGTGATACTACTGATTGGGGGCATGCGAGTAGTATGTTTTCTCGTAAATCCCCTTCGCGTCTTTTGAACAGTGAGATCTACTACAGAATTTGTGGAGTCGCTTTGTAGCATTTGCTTGGATTTGAATTTGAATATGAATATGAATATTTAGGAAAGTTCAGGAAGGCGCGTTTGAAGGGAAGATGGATATTTAGTTTTCGTAAACAGGATGCACATGAGAGTTTTGCTTTCCTGTCCAATAGTCTGTAGCTGTTCAGTTGGCATTTTCTAATAAATAACCTCACAGGGAAGGACTTCTTCCTTTCACCAGTACATACCGATGTATGGTGCTGAGGCGGTATCTAGTAGTGTGGCTTTGTACAGTTACGAGAATTACATTCACCTCAACCGGTCACGTTGCCTGGAATTATTGATTTATTAGACCACACTTGCACGATTCAAAGACTCATCTAACTGAGACTGGAAACCCTTGGATATGGTTTAGATTTTAGGCTAATCAAAGATGGTCAAGACAGTTGGGAGAACACGCGAGCGGTTACGAAACCGGTCGAAGGGTGTCGAAGAATT